CCTGAAAGGGTGACTGCCTGGTGATGGCCAGATTTTGTTTGGCATGATAATTCCATCATACTCCAGGTGAGTTTTGGTTTGGCATCAGAGACCTATTGCAACCAAGTCTACTGTATGCATAACCGAGAATCGGCAACCCGCGCCCAGTAGCCCACACTGATGCATTCCTCTTCCGATGCAATCTACCTTTTCGTTGGCAGCTGCCAGCGTATACTTGAAAGTGAGAAGGGTGTCAGAATTCAAGTACTCAGGAAGACCGGTTGTTTTATTTCGATTTCTGACACACTCCATATCAATGAGTTGTTGAGATTTGTAGAAAACCTCGGGTCTGTTGGCTAAGTGAGACCAAGCCATGTCAAACATGCATGGCTGATTTCTGCGTGCGTTCTCAAATCTGCCAGGCTGACATAGTGTCCCAGTCATTTTACATCTTTTCCAGCTGGCTCTTGCCAGGTGCCTTCGTCGAGACAAGTCTTGTCAGAAGCGATGGTCATGCAAAGTGTGGATGTGTGTTCCAACCAAGGCCTGTCGACCTTCGTTTTCAGATAGAAGTTGTATGCCAGCCATCACAGCGCAAAAGCCTTGCTAAAATAGTGCTTCCGCATCATCATCGGAACAAAGATCTCTTTCAGCTCCCTTGGCTTTGCAGTATTAGCGCCAAATCTCTAAGACCATTTGAGACCGAAGTGCTTCGAAGTTACCTATTTTGGTGCTGGCACTCCAAAGCTGTACATACTCCATGCGGTGTTGACTATGTTGGCAGCTTTGTTGAGACAAGTGTGATGCTCATGCGAAGCTTGGGCGTGGCGCGACCACGACTTTTTGACCTTGCTGCTTTGCAGTGGCAAAGCGGAGATGCCCTTCACGGAAGTTTCAGTGGCCGGAGCACGTTGAGATTTTTGCTTGCGTTATTGAGATTCTGCCGCAAAGCCTTTGAACATCCGTGTTTCAAAATTTCATGTGAGGCACTACCAGATGACGGGAGTGTCTGAATTTCAAACCAAGCCTTCAAGCCAACAAATTACGAGGAGTTCTGAGTTGTGAATGCCGAATGACGACCTTTGAAAGACGTAAGTGTGAATTTGTTTCCAAGCTGCGCGTGTGCACTTCCTCCAATAATCATGAAGTCATGCCTTTGAACGCCTTTGGCAAACAGGCTGTTTGACTGTGCAGATCATCAAACATTGCCTTACGAAGAGGATGACGACTGGTCTTTCCTGTAGATTGCTGCTGGTGTGATAGGTGCAACTTGAAACCAGACGCTGCTGTGCTTGAAGAATCATTCCACCGCGCTTGTTTGCAAAGCAATGCGTGGCCAAGCAGTCAAATGGACGAACCTAGACACAGTCGACCCTGTGACTGTATCTTGCAGCATGCAGACCATCCCCTGGTCACGCAGATGGATTTGAAGGCTCCACAATCACCATTGTTAGGTCTCGGTCTCAGGGTTTGTCACAGACCAGCGCAGCTAGGCATTAGACAGCGTGTCATTGATTTTTAAACACAACGCTAAGCATAGTTTATGTACTGAGCAAGTGCAACGTGCAGCTCTCAATCAATCACTTGTTTGGGTCAATCTTGCTGCAATCAAAGCAGGCTTCACGCTGGGTACTGCTGTGGGAACGGCAGAAAGGGGTCCATTTTGCGCACTGGGGGTGCCATTGGAAGAGGGAAGAGGATTACAAGTGTTGTGCCTGAAGGAATAGTTCAACTGTATCATTCCAAACAAAGTTCAACCATGTGCAACATTTCGCAATCCTAGATTCCTAGATTGGTTATACGAGAAATGAACGCTCGTGAAGGCTACATCAACCCCTGAGTTTGGCCACTGATTCTTTGGTTGGAGAGAATGAGGCCATGGGGGCATAGGAGCAGCAGCGAGTAGCGCCCTCAAACGAAGGCAGCCTTCAAGAAGCGGTGGCCACATGAAGGAAGGGACTGACCACTGAACAGATTGGTGGGGTGGATTTAGTGGTCAGTAGCGACCCCCCACTAAGTCCCAGTCATTCAACACCCCAACATCAACATGTGAGAAAACATTGCTGAACAAGTGTCGACCCTACAGCTGACCCCAGCCAGCACAACATTTGCTCGGAAACGCGCATGGTGAGGGTTTTTGGAGGATCGCATAGAGTGACCCGTTCAAGACATTCCTGTTGGCTGGCACGAGTCTGCTGTGCTATTGGGTGTTTGTGTGAGAGAAGAAGGGGACAAAGGAGCCACTCAGCTCTTGATACTTCTGATGCCCAGTGTCCAAGAGCCAACATGTACTGGTTCTCTTGCTTCTCGCCTTTTCTCAGAGCCTAGAATCCGAGAATGAGTGCTTGTTATCATTGAGTGAATCATTGTGTAGGCTTTTGCTCGCAGACAGCATAAGCAGTGGCGTCTTGCAAAACCTTGTCCGGAAACGAATACAACTTCGAGGGTCAGAAGCAAGTATAACCTCTTCCAAGGGACCCAGTTTACCTTTGTTCCTGGTAGCTTCTTGTTCCTAGTAGTATGGCCAGGAGCCCCTAGTAGCGTCCTTGTTCCTAGTTCAAGTTGCAGGCGGACGTGAGATGGTGTGTTTTTTCCAACTCAAAAAGGCCACGCCAAGGGGACGTGTGATGTTGTACTTTGGTCGCCTTGGCGTCCTTGGCCTCCTTGGCCTGTTTGCCGTCAGGGCCTCAAGTCTGGAGGGGTGAAACTGGATGGGCTGAGTGTCTAATATTCATGTTTCGTTTTATGTTTTTTTCCACCCGTGTGCTGGTTGGCGCCCAAGTGTCTAGTCTTCTAAAGACCATGCGTTCAAACACAAAGACAGAGCTTATTTTCTTCGAGTCTGAGGAGTTGGGTTCTTGTTGAATGGTATGTTTTTCAAATGCTTTGCAGGAATTAGATGCTTGTGCTCGCTCGTCGAGACAAGACGTAGAAGATGATTTTCAAAGTGCTTGGATTTCCTTCTGTTTTCCCCGATAACGAGGTTGACCAGGGATAGATATGAAACACAATGACCCTTTCAGCTTAGCATGCTGACCGAATCGACAGGAGCCATGCATGGCTCTATGACAAGAGTTCTGTATGGAAGACCGGTTCGGACATTACCCTCATTTGATGCACTTCAAGGCATTAGACATCATTAGACCCTTTCTGGCGAAAGGAACCAACAAATAGACCCTTCTGGGTTTGATAAGACATGGATCCACACCGGACGTGGTTGGGACCTCCCAGGTGGGCCATGCGCTCGAGCCGGGCGAGGCCGGGATGGGCGTGAAGTGGGTTCGACTGACATGCTTTTGCTTTTCACGGCAAGCAGATCGGCATGTTCCGGACAGTCGCGCCGGGATAGTATTGCAAAGAAGGGCACTATAAGGGCATGGTTTGTGTGGTGGTACGTAGGGATTTCTGAGGCATGCGGGTCCCAAGGTTGTTGCCAGGTTGCTTGGTGTCACTAGTTCCAGGAACCAACCAGTCAATCGGTTGCAGGGTCTCCGCGTCTCCATGTGAGAGACAAGCTTCATTGATATTCAAGGACACTGCTGTCCCAAAAGAAAAGTTGGTAAATCAGTTGAATTGGTCGATCTTCAACAAATCGGATGATAATTCCCCAATAGCCATGCTATGGGGTCTTCCAAAACTAATAGGCGGACGGGCGCCGTCGGGTCACCGTCAGAGCTGGTGGGCGGATGGTGTCCCGGTCATGTTTTCATGGCGTCCGGGTCATGTGATGCTGGTGTCCCGGTCATGTTTTGATGGTGTCCCGATCATGTTTTGATTGTGACCCAGTCATGTTGTGATGGTGTCCCGGTCGTGTTTTGATGGTGTCCCGGTCATGTTTTGATGGTGTCCCGGTCGTGTTGTGATGGTGTCCCGGTCATGTTTTGATGGTGTCCCGATCATGTGATGGTGGCGCGGTCATGTTGTGATGGTGTCCCGATCATGTTTTGATTGTGTCCCAGTCATGTTTTGATGGTGTCCCGGTCGTGTTTTGATGGTGTCCCGGTCATGTGATGGTGGCGCGGTCATGTTGTGATGGTGTCCTGATCATGTTTTGATTGTGTCCCAGTCATGTTGTGATGGTGTCCCGGTCCTGTTTTGATGGTGTCCCGGTCATGTTGTGATGGTGTCCCGGTCATGTTTTGATGGTGTCCCCGTCGTGTTGTGACGGTGTCCCGGTCATGTTTTGATGGTGTCCCGGTCCTGTTGTGATGGTGTCCTGGTCATGTTTTGACGGTGTGCCGGTTATGTTTTGATGGTGTCCGGGTCATGTGACGGTGT